ATACTACTCATGAGAGCAACCATTTAGGCACTTTGATCTCGCCCGACTATTCTCATCTGTTTCAGGAAATACAGATTGTAGGATTTTCACGTGAAAAACTGTATGATTTTCACATGAACTCCAAAACATTGCAATTTATGTGTAAATCCGCTTTTTTAACTGGGCTTCAAATGTGGATACTACTTTCTTTTCAAAAAATCGTATATAAGTGGCATTTTATAAGCCGGGATTATGTCAATAAATATATCTTTGGAAATTGTGCTCTTGAATATGTATCGTTATGAATTATGGTACATTTTGTTTCAAATATTAAATACATGAAATATTGTGTTGATCTACAATCAATCGTTTAGTAAGTCATATTATCAAAATGACCAAGTTTCTAATGTAGTGTTTACATTTTTGTTTCAGTAATTTAATTAGAAATAAAATATCTTATGAAATACAATATTTAAAGAGATTTTAACTTTTGGGAGTGAAGGCTCAAAACCACCTACAGAAATAGTTGAATTATCATTTTAAAGCTCATTTAGAGAAGGTTTTAACCTCCTACGATCTGCCAGAGAGCAAGGGCTGTCCGAAGCATTCTCAAAAAAATACTAAGCTTTGAACAGATCTCTCATTAAATGTTTCAGAGATAATTTTTGTAATGTTTATTAAACGAACCATACATTTTAGTATTTATTCATGTTTTAGCTTTTAGAAAGTCACGAACTTCACATTGTGAGAGGGACAGAAGCCATTCACTGATGGAATATGTCATTTGGAAATTGTTCGACTGGATTGAGAGATCAATAGATAACAGAGCTGCAGAGGGATCAGGGCTGTCATAGTGTTGCTGTGTTAATCTGCTTCAATAAGCATGAACATCGCTCTACATTGTTTCATTCAGATAAAGAGATTAACGTTCTATTATCACAATAGATTAGAATAGTCACATACGATACGTTCCATTCACAACATAGCTACGTTCTGGCATCACGTGTCGTAATTTGCACGTACTTGTATTTCCAGATAACTCCCGCATTCCACACCTAAGTTATAAACGAGATCGCGTGAATTGTAAATCCATTCTGTTTGCGTTCAATACAACACCATCCTCGGTGACTCCGTTAGTAATTTACGAATGTGTAACAAGCATACATATCTTATAAAGATCAATTTGCTTTCATTTAATGAACACAATGAACGTTTTTAGCAAAATATGATAACTAAGTTTTTTCCTTGTAATATAAACTATTTTTCCTAAAAAACAGTCACAAAATTTTAATATAATAGTTCTGTGGTCGAAATTTACAGACCTCCCACTCCTCTCGCATCTAAGGCAATAAGGGGTCAACAAACCGTGTGAGGATAATGTCACTCATTAGCATTTTATGTCACTAGCGCATCATGGGAATTACTGAACTCTTTGACCTAACTAAACATCCGTCTGCAAAGAAGTACTGTCACTAAATGTACCGTCATATTTTCACCTTCAGTCAAAAACAGTGTTCAACTTGAACACCGTTGGAATATTTCCCACTCGATCTTCCTCTGTTTTTAGTTATTTGTACTACGTGACAATTTACGTTCGTTGCGTAATTTGCGCGTTGCGTAATTGGAGAATTTATTTAGTCAAAAGTTACTATTTGTTGCTCTGCCATTGATTCAAACTCAGGGAGCTCAAATTTGTCATGTAGGCATTACTTTCTCGATGATAGGTGTATTTTTCTCCAAATGGACAAGATAAATCTGGAATAAAAAAGTTTCTCAGATTTTCACTTATTTTCACAACAGGATTGTCAGATGGTTTCAGTCAGACAAATAAAAGACTAGATTAAGCTTATAAGGGTTTCATTAAAAGAAGTTTGTGATTGACACTTTTTGATGGAGGGGATCGATGTTGCCAATTGCAATGCGTATATGTGCGTGTATAAGCACGACATAACAAAACCAAAGACTAAATTCGTGTGACGGTAAGTAGATAGGTAATAACTTGCTCTGGAATTACTACGAGTCTCATTTATTTCAAACACTATTACGCAAGTTTACATTATAGATACTTTGTTCACATCTGTTTTACTACATTATCAAAGTATTACCAAACTCACACTGTTTTTACTTGCTTGATTATAAAATACTACATCCTACGTTGTCTATTTTCGTGACATTTCCGTGTTTTAAAACAATATTTGTCATCGTCGTGATTTGAACATTTTCAACAGTAAGTAGGTGTATAAATTCAAATAAAAATAAATAAACTTTATTGAAATAAATTAATCACTAGATAATAAAAGAGAACATTAAGAAAAAATGACGACCACAGTTGTCAACACACAAGAAAAAACTCGATACTCTTACATTAACCCTAGATTAAGCAACTACAGTACCGACAGCGTATAAGCGACACTTGACAGTTCTCTCGTCACGTTCTGTGGTACGTCATGTGACGTGCTATGAAGTAATAAATTTGCGAGGATTTGTTTTTTTTCCTCACAGCCAGGGTTCAGCGTTGCCGCTCATCTGACTCACACGAAGTCGAGGAGGCGATAAGGTTCGGTTTTAGCGAAAGTTATGGACATGATATCAAGACGTGTCATAGCCTGTCAGTACGTGTTATTAGGGAGTTTGTGTACGCCAGAGCGAACATCGTTCGGCTGCAATCTCGATCTTCTGCGCATGCGCAGAGGAACAAAAGAGGTGCCAAACGCTAACTGTGCATACAAAGGAGGTCGATAGTGAATTCGATTGCTTTAACGTTCAACGGTGCACAAACTCCCTAATGTTTCGAGAGTTGATGTTTTTGTTGTGTAGGTGGTTCCATAACCGTAGTTATATATGGTAACAACGCATTGAACTGTCAGAGTTGCTTATACGCTGTCGATACTGTAGCGCCGAAAGCTTCCCCCACCCCTGTGCGGCGAGCCTATTTCCGGTATACGCCATTTCACGCGTCGTTCTTGTGACTACACCTACGCCAGTCATATTTTTGGCGCTGTATTTGCTAATATTGTAAATAATGACTACAAACTCCTTGTCTTGTAGCATTTTAGTTTTGTTCTGAACATTTAGCAATCTTAATGGGACGTTGGCGATCATAACAAAGGTCGCATAACAAGGTACTTCTGCGGACGCTTCTTAAAAGCCATGTGTGAACAGCACCAATCAAGTGACTGCTATGAGACTCAATACATTTAGACGTATCTACAAAAAGCTTTCAAATGTATTTTGTAACTCCATATAATACATGTTCAGTCCTTTAACTCAGTGTTTCATTGTAAAATTGTGGATTTTGCCCACAGTAGTCCGTCAGACTACGTCTTCGCAATAATGCTTGATACAGGACGCCTTTGTAATCTAGGGATAAAACACGCTACATCAATTCAACACGACCCAATGTCAAACAAAATAGGTGCGCGGGGGCCACTGGGAGCGCGAGGAGGAGAGCGAAGGGAGACACTCATCGTTTCCAATTTTTCACTGTCAGCTCAGCGTCAAGTCCCGATACATTTATATCTCCTGATCGGGTGCTTCCGGGAAATTCCATAGGCATCCTTACGTTACACACAACTGACCATCACCAACTTATTTTAATCGGACCGTAGCACTGGATTATATCAGGTTCACTTGACTACTTCACTCTTCCAGACCGTTGAGATTCTCGAATTGTTGACCAATTCAACACACGGAATTCCGGAGCTTTTGTTCTGTGGCATCACCGACGCATTTCCAAACTTTGATGCAGTATGAGAGAGCACCGGGAGATGTGGTTTAGTGCATCAACTGATGTCACTGCTGTTCCTCTGACCGAGAGGTCCTAGGTTCGAGTACTGACGGTGGCAGGATTTTCGACACTAGCTTGTCTGTGGTTTCTCCGATTAACACCAGACGAATGCCGGAGCAGTACCCTAACAAACGGGCCACGGACCCCGCGCGACATTTCCTTTCTCTTCCTTGTTCTATCCTCACCCCCTTCACGCTCACACTCACACTAACATGTACCGGGCGAAGTCTGGCTCACACGGCGCCATCGAGCTGTTTCGAGATCTCTGCGCTTATCGCCAAGGGGAGCATTAGCGATATGAACGCCTGGCGACGAGCTGGAAGTGCCTCGCAGGGCCGAGCGCGGCTTTTCAAGTGGGAGAAATGGAACCTGGTCTCCGAGTGAGGAAATCGGAACTGGCGATTACTGCTCTCTCCGTTTCAACCGACGACGGAGAGGAAAACAGGTCTGGTGGCAGTCGATCCTGCGGCGAGACTCGCTCAATTTACTGGGATAATCAGAATATACAGACGTATATGCTGCGTACCGGTCTGAGCGGTCTATCATATTGGCGCGATGTACGACGCGTGGGAAATGGAATGATAAGGAATATTAGGGGTGTGATGTCGAATTCTCGCGCTTCCCATCTTCAGTTTAAATATTTTACTGCTACGTTATAATGAATAATAATAATTATTAGTATTATTATAATATCTTAATTTAAGCAGCATATATAATGAATAACAAGTTAAATTATGCACTCTTACTGTATATTACATAATATTATTTTATAATATTTAATACAATATAGCCACCCTGATAGCAGTTCTATCATTGGGAAGTTACATAAAGACTATGGACATGCGTAGAAGTCAATATTCTTGGCGGCGACGCTTGGCATATAACAAGAGCTACATCGTCTCAGAAGTTTATTTTCCTCATACATCGCTTGCGTTGATCAAAAATTCCTGCCCATTTGATGAGCCATTCGCATTATATATCACCACCTGGTTCAGGGTAATACACAATGTGAGATATTTGAATTTCTCGCTCAAAAACAAAACGAAGGTTACTTGGAGGCGATTGAAACTTACGATTGAACTGACTTACGATTGAAAACATGGGAAAGAATGGGATGAAAACCCACCAGCTGCCAGCACTAACTGGGAGTTATGGGCGAGTTTTCTCTGCACTTCGTACCCTGCAGGGACTGATTACCAAGGCCGGGACGATTTTTCTGCGGCCTGAACTCTAGGCGTGGAAACTAGAGCGGGGCGAGTGACATTTGTACATGGTGCTGTTGGAGAATGCCCTCGCTTGAGAGACACCGGTCGGGTCCTCTGTAGCACTGAACCGTGTTGTGATGTGTTGTCGGCTACGAGTGGTAAGTGACGTGTCGATACCTGTATGGCACGATCATTGTACTATTTTTTTCTAGCTGCAGCCATAAATTTATATCGAAAGTAAAGCGGCGTTTCTTGGCGACTCTGGCTAACAAAACTCATTTACTCCGCGGGTTCAGAGAGGTATAAAACACTTCATATTATTTCCCTACATTTTTATTTATTTTATTTTATTTCTATCGCACATAGGTAGAGCCTTTCAACTCCATATTGAAACTGTTAACAAACACACATTGTGCAAGGATAGAGGGCGCTAATATCGCCCGGTGCGACTTTGCGTATTTTGCGCCAACATTGCACGGTAAAAATTTGATGTGTTTATGGCAAATACAAAATAAGAGTAAATCAAGCAAATAATAATATGAGCATAAAATACGAGCAAATAATACGAGCATAAAAATGTTTCTGTGTAAAGCGTGAACGTCAGCGCAGTGTTTTCCATAAGACACATACTTGGAACCAGTCAGCCAACGCTTGCTGATGACGTCATCTCCATAACGTTGGAGCAATTGGCCTTTCGTTTCCTGGAATATGGTCCAGTAAAGCGTGCCACTGTAAGCGTCGCCGTTAGTCAGGGTTGCCAGATTGAGGATTTATTTTCGTTGTGGGGAAAGAATGGGGAACATAAATGGACGAGGAAAGGTTTGGGGATTTTTTTGAGCGAATTATTTTAATGCAGACTCGAGATAGAAATTTTCTCTGAATAAATAAAAGAGGAACCACAGGTGTTTCTCTCTCGTATTTTTATGTATGAAAAAAATAAACGACGTGCATAGAAAAACAAAAACAAACATGAGGAAAACGAAATATTTTGAGCAGCTCAAAGGAATGAATGGTTGATTTGAATTATTTGAATTGAAGGAGGCATCCAATGGAATCGTCAGGGACAGCTCATATCATCTTGATTCACAATTTGGAGAATATATTTCATTTCAAAGTTGGGGAATTTTGTTTCATTAAAGACGTTATTGGGGTAAATTCTGTAGTGGTGAAGGGCAAAGTGTTGGCAACAGATCCGGCAACCCTGCCGTCAACTCATACAGATTTTTTTAACCCTGCGCGCGGCAGCCGTGTGCTGTATTTTTCCCTCTACGAGAGTTGCGATGGGCGTGGCGATAGCGCAGGGCTGTTTCAGTGACAATGCTGGTTATCCGAATTCCGCGGGCGCGGAAAGATAACTAACATTTCCCATTTGAGTGTCTTTGAAGTTTAACTTCTAACGCGCGTGGCTAATTTTTTTTTTCTCTTTGAGAGTCTACGCGTCTCTAGCTCAGAGCTGTGTCAGCGATACTGGTGGCTAGAAAAACTACTGTTTCGCGGGCGCGAAAGGAAATATAACATTTTATATTTGTGTGTTTGAAGCATGAATACTGTGAGGAGTAGATTCAATTTTGGTAGAATGAGAGGTATGTATAAAAAGCGTCGGAAGGTAATCGGCATACCTGAACTTTAGATATATGTCGAAGTCGGTGGGAGACGTATTTAAAGCATTTAAGGTCTCCTAGCGTATGTTTCAAGTCAAAACCTTGTACACTTACACTGAAGAGTAGATATTGTTTTTCGAATACGTGAACGTGCGTCATTATTGGCTGAAAGAAGCCGCTTTAAATCAAGTATGACGAGTTGCTTCGGTCGTTTTTCGTAGTTTCCTTCTTACTGTCTTCATAGTTAGATTGATTACTGATTTCGGGCGCCCACCTACATGTCGGCTAGAGAATGTTTCCCCAAGCAGGTGTCTCCCACCACGGGGTATTTCACCAGCCGGAACAAGCTCCCGACTGGCCTCCCGGTATGTGGTGGTGTAGTGCATGTATGTGTAAGTAAGAGGTGCGGATAGAACAAGGAATGGGAAGGAAAGATCGCGCGTGATCCGTAGCTCGTTTGTTTAAGAAGTGAAATTAAACTTGTGTAAGAAGTGTTATTGAACTTGTGTAAGACGTGAAATCGTAGGCTTTCGCAGTCAGTCTTGTGAAGGCGGTCAGACGCCCTGGAGACGTCGCGTCTAGGGCTGTTGTGCCGACGTTTTGACCATCATATCGTGGCCTTCTTCAGGGATGGAACGCGCCAGGACGGTGGGTGCTGGTGTTGATATAATGTTTGACATGCCGTCGGATCTCACTCACTGCTGACACTACTGTCCAGTCCTGCCTGATTGGCCGGCTGTGCAGCCAACAAACACCGGCCCCTGCTCAGCCACACAGCATATAAACTCGAGCGTCCACAATTCCAGAGCATTTCAGCCCTGAAGAAGGCCACGATATGAAGTCGAAAGGTCAGCACAACAGTCCTCGACGCGGCGTCGCCCGGACAACCTTGTATAAGAAGTACTTGTAAGGCGCGTGGCGTGTTTGTGCGTCGCCGAGCGCGTGTTGACGTGGCGCCGGCGCGGGCGGCAGGGCGTGTTCCAGCGCGCGGCGCCTGCTGTCGGGGTCGGCGCTGGCGTCGTGGGCGCTGGTGGAGCGGCCGGGCGGGCCTTCGCCGTGCGCTGGCGCGCCGCTCGACTCGCCCGTGGCCAGCGACCTGCTGCGCGAGCACGAGCGGCTCGTCGACTGCCTGCGCGCGAGGCGCCGCTGGAGCGCCTGCTGGGCGCCGACGTGACGGCGCCGGCTTCCTGTCGGCGTTCGGCCCCGCGTGGAGCAGGCGTGGTCATCCGCGCCGACTTCTCGCGCGAGCTGCTGCTGGGCGCGCCGCCGCAGTCCTGGCCGGGGCCGCGGGCGCGGCGGGCAGGGGCTGCCCGGCGGGGCCCGGCGGGCCAGCGGCGGCGGCGGCGGCCCGCGGCCCGCGGCCCAACAAGCGCAGCCCGCCAGGGCTCGGGGACGCGGTGAGTGCCTTCTCACGTATCTCCTCCACCTTCTTTTCATGATTGTCCCTATTTCTCTCTTTCTATTCATGCTCCCCGTTCAGGCCGTTCTCTTCCTCATTCTCATCTCTCCTTTCAGTGCGTATGGCTTATTCTCCGTTCCACTCGTTCGTCTCCTACCACACGTTCTTCTCTCTCTTCTGTCTATTCCTAATTATCGTTTCTCTCTTGTTGTCTCCATTCCTAATTGTCGTCTCTTCTTTTCCTGATATACGATTTTCTGTCTTCACTTTCTCCCGTCTCTTCTCTTGTTTATTCATATGCATTCTTTTTTCTCTTTTTACTTTTTTACTCACATTTCTTAGCAGCTTCATTTTTTATTACCTACTTTGAAAGAACGTAAACTACACCTCAAATCTATTATTAATCAATTGCACTGCTTTACGTCACGCAGTGAAATGACATACATAGTAGTTACTGTTAACACAAATTATCTTTGATAATGTACATCTCTTGAACTTGGACGAAAAAAATGTTTAATGAAAGACTCCCAATTGTATAAAATTACAGAATTGTAACTTTTAACAGAAATTCTCTTAGAAAACTTGAAGATACGCACCTACACCAAACACATAAAGAAAACAAAATGAGTATACTTTCTTACATTAGCGTGTATGCAAAGTAAGCTAGTGTGTATTCAATAGTTTGTTTTCAAACCAAATGAAAAAGCTGAAAAAAATTGATTTAGGTGGAAAATTGCTAATAAAATGAAATCAAATCATTCCCAAAAATAAAAACGGTTGTTTCATGAAAATAAATATCTGTACTTTGTGCAAAGATTAAAATTAATTTAAAGCAAAGAGGCTGGCTAACAATATTGATTTGCTGCGAGCGAAATGTGTGACGATTGGAACCGGCGTTAAATACCCTGGACTCCAGTCAAATTCCATTTAACTACTTAATCAGTTTCTCTCATTATCCATCATTCAACACTTTCTAATCACTATTCATTAGCTTTCTACTCTCACGATTACAGGGGATATGATTAATGGAGGTTCGTGTGCGGTCTTCAAAGGCTCTTTATCGTTTCATACCAGAATAGAAAATATAATAATTGTCATTCATTACACATCCGGGATATTTTTGCTACGTAGTTGATTAACGTTTGAGAAGCGTTCAAATACGTAAACGTGCTGCTCCAAATTGAACATATTCTCATGTGGTAGCAAAGCGAAAATATCAGACCACACAAATACCGTCACGAACTGTATGAAACTATAGTAAATCTGAGGCTGCGGCTTGCGTCACACGAGCATTGTGTTGACTCGCGATATTTAAGCGCGTCGTAGATTAACACTGTCTCTCATACGAAACAACGCGCTCGTGAGCCATGTCACGTAATAAAGGGAGGTTCTAAGGTACAAGGTCTATAAGATGAAGTTCAGCATAATGCCTTTTCTCATTATTGTTGCGCACATTACATTCATTCGGTAGTCTATCCTTATAACACCCCTCAATGAAATGTGGAATACTAATATTAGTTTCCATAATTGAAATATTACGACTAAAAAATAATAATAAACAATAGACGCGTTTGAGCACAACTTGGTAAAACCCTCACCAACCATCTTCTTACCATTCAATAAAAGGGAAGTTCATTTTTTGCATCCTTTCGTGCTTACATTTTTAGAAAATGTCATCATCTGTGAGTTGTGCTAGTTCAAATTCTGTATGTTCATGAAGTTTATCGTATTTTTAAAATGGACTATCCGGCACGTAATACTCAAAACGGCGGTGATAACATTAACTAAATATCAGACATAAGACATTCTGAAAGGTCACGGGTTGGTGTCCCGCCTTGCCTTGCATGCACCGTGTGCTGCCACGGAAGGCCTTGTGAGTCTGCTGACTACAGACCGAGGAACCCGCAAGTGTGTCTAGTGTAAAGGTTAATGTGTCCCATGAGAGTCATAGTGGGTACACAGCGCAGATATCGGCTATCTGCGCTGACATTTATTGCTCAGAAGCTTTTTTCCAAACAAATAGTTCTTCTAATTAATTCTACGGTGACAGAATTAACGTGCCACCTTTTAAATGTGTTATTGTCAAAATAATAAATAATATTACAAATTCAAATTATTTGGCAGTTGAATTTAGTTTTGCATGCCTTTCATATGTATTTTTTATAATCAATTGATGAAAGAAAAAATAATGTAGGAAAGCGAAGCCGAAAAAAGCCCCAGGAAGAAAAATATACTAATTAAGAACGCGAAAATATATTGCACGTGTAAAATGTAATCATTTTTAAATAAATGTAAATTCGGTATTTCACACACACAGCAAGTGAGCGTGCATTCTGATTATGGGGAGATAATTTGCCTTGAAATCCGTTCCGTCATAATGAATCCGAAAGTGAGGTTATGTGTGTGTTGCGTGCGTGTGCGCAGGCGCTGGCGGCGCTGGCGGGGCAGCTGGGCGCCAACCGCTACGACGTGCTGCTGGGCGTGGTGACGTCGGAAGCGCTGTGGCGCTTCTCCTCACAGGACATCAGCGCGGGCTTCGAGGGCGAGCGCCGCGACCGCATCCTGCGCACCTACGTGCGCAACGCCTACACCTACCACCTGCAGGTGAGGCGGACCGCGCCTTCCCCGGCAAGGGAGCGAGCGAAACTTGGTCGCTCGTCGGCGGCTAGAGAGCAAATTGCAAGTGGCAATATCCGAATTGCTGTTTGCTGATCACCTGCCCATAGCATAAGCGAGTTCCCCTTGCTTACCACCCGCTTGTGAGCGCTCTTGGGCTAAATTGCCGAGTTCCGATTTCCTTTGACGATCATCTGCTGGTAATAGTAGTTTACCGTGTAAAAGAAAATGATTCATTACGAGTGAGATATTTCCTGCTGATGTGACAATTTCGATGTTTTGGGGTCTTCCACACGGAAAAATCGATTGACGGCAAAAGATCTGTTTGTCCGTCTGTCTGTGAACAATGCTAGCGCCTAAACCGTCCAGCCTATTTTGAATGCCGTGAATTTTAAACTGAGATTTTATGGGGGTACTTTACATGAAGCCCTTGGAACATTTTCAAAATTTTCATAAAAACCGATTCCGATTTGTGATTACATTTTTTGTCGGATAGCGGATAAAAGCGACGCTTAAGAGAATGTCGGTTTCAAATTCAAGAGACCAGGTGAATTCCAGAATATCAATTTTGGAGAAAATCGGCTGAACGGTTTAGCCACTATCGTTATTCACAGGATGTCAGGCAGACGAACAGATACAAAAAGAAATTTTGCCATCATTCAATTTTTCGGTATCAAAGACCCAGAAAACAAGAATTCTGGTTTCACCATGTTTTAGAGCATTTTTTCTCTAAATTTCGCTATTGGATTTATCCGCTTTTTCGTGATTTCTTTGACGTTTATCTACAAGTAAATGTCATTTTGCTGGTCCCTCTTAAATGACATTCTGTAGAAGATCGTACGTAGACGAGTGTGCCGGCGCTGACATTTTGCAATTCGGTTTGAACACCACCTACAGGTAAGCGTTATATGGTGATTCGATGAAAGACATGCGACAAACCGCACAATACATGCGACGAAAGCGGGCGTGCAAGCTGTAACCCGACTGAAGTGGTCCATTCTCATTAATAAATAGCAAGCGAATTAAAATTAAAAATCATAGGTATGCGTTTGTTCCATTTCTACAACACTTTTATTTTTGTGTAAAAATCACGCATTCATTCAAAATATGTGTGGCGATGTGAAAACTTTTTGCCATTTCTGAAATTAATGGAGGATTTTTAATTGTATTCTGAGTTATACCTCACTTTGTAACCCCTCACTCAATCTCAGGGTAGTGTGTCCGCTCTACCCATCACAGAAAAGTCGACTGAATAACTTAGTGTCATATCATGAATGATTTGCTACGGCTAGGTAAGTTCCAAAATCGACAGAAGTACGTCGAAAGGCAACGACGTGTATCAAATGGCGCTCTGCTGGTAAGGAACGTATAATATATACTGCTTGTTACTGGAATGGACTGACTTGCTCAAAAACCGCTCCATATTTTGTCTTCTTTTTTTCTGTAGATAGAACAAGAAACGCTTAAAAGAATGGGAGAGGATTCATTTTTGTATCAAAAATTAATATTCCATTTCAATTTGGATTCAATTTCAATTATTATTCCATTTAAAAATGTTTAACTTAGATGTTACATATTTGCTAATAAAGATACTGAAAATGGATCACGTTAGGTCTTTTATTAATTTAGACGTCGAGAATGCATCTGACATTCCATTACAAGAAAAGTAGATTAAATGTAAACATTAAATACATTTCTGTTGAGATATCCACCGAAATGCTTCAGTAAAGATGTGAAAAAAAGAAAGTTTATAAACATTTTACATAATCTCCACAATAAAATTATAGTATTAACTTCTCGAGTCATTCAAATTTTGTTTCATTCTGAAGATTGTTAATATTGTTATCACTTTTCAGTTTTGTAAACATATAATCTAAAATATAACATTCATATTTCAAAATACATCCGAATGTTTCTTCACATGTTTTTAAATGCATCCAAATTTCGATACATTTCCTTCAGATTCCCTTCAAATTAATCTTATTTATTCCTTATTGAAACGCATTGATGCATTACGATTGCGTTACGATTGCATTACGATTTATTGTATTACTTTCGTCATTACATATATCCTGTCTTTTGTTCTTTGAAAATGGACAAGTTTCTGCACAAAGGAAAACTTCTTTCTGTTGTTTTCTGAGCCTCTCATTTTGCTTTGCCAACCCTTAACTTTATGCACATCGCAGCTACTGGGGAAATTGAAAAAGTTTTCAATCTTCCGTACACGAAATGATTCACATTGCTTCTCTTTTTCGATTTAACGCGCAATAAGAACCGTTCAGTTTACATTTGGGAACAGTACAATTTAGCAAAAGTGTTTTAGAGAGCAATTTCATTAGAAAAGATCGTCAGGGAGTTACAAACTACAGTGACACTTATTGCTCAGAGCTTTTTTTCCAAAAACTAGTTCTTCTAATTAATTCTATGGTGACAGAATTAACGTGCCACCATTTAAATGTGTTATTGTCAAAATAATAAATAATATTACAAATTCAAATTATTTGACAGTTAAATTTAGTTTTCCATGCCTTTCATATGTATGTTTTTATAAGCAATTGATGAAAGAAAAAATAATATATGAGAGAATCAAACGATAATGTAAATTTCTAATTTCCACTCAATAAATAAAACTGTTAAACCATCACTATACCCAACATTCGAAGTCAATAAATTCATCCCTGTGGTATGTGTGCTGGAAATTATATAAGTTTGATTATCCAATAAAATAAATTATATTTTTTAAATTACATTAATTATTCATTAGTCACATTCTGATTAAATGGCTTTCTCCTGCATCTGACATGTTCCAAATAATGAGCTAACGTGGTGCTGATCGAAAATATATGGCTGAAAAATATGCGACCGCTGTAGGTTTGAAAATTGCATAACATTCGGAACCAGCCACCCGACAAAATTAATAATTTGAGAAATATTTGTCTCAATATATTTTTCTGTCGATCATCAACAGGAAATCTCGATGGAATTATAGGTTTGAGAGTTATCGGAAATCGTTTATATGAGTCTGATATCATAACCGTATTCATTTTGATATTTATTTTGTAAATGTGGCCTTTTTGTTTCAGTTATGCTTTTTGAGTTTATTGAGTTACTTCAATGTATATTTATTTTTACTTTCCTTTCACATTTGCTTTCATCACATCTATGTTTCTGCAACAAACTTCATGTCGTACTGATGTACTATAATTTGTATTACGTGCTTCATTGATGGACAATGTAATACGAAATTATTTGAATCACAAGCGCTTACAAATACAATAATGTAGAAAAACTGCCGCGTGAAAAGTAAAAAACACATCAAAATGGCGTTTAATTTCATGTTATTTGACAATATCCGCACCAAAATTTTCAAGAAAAAATTTGGCACCATTTTCCCCCGCTTACTCTCTCGCTCACTCCCCGAACACTCTCGCACTCACTCTCCCGCTTACTCTCACGCACACTCTCCCGCTTACCTTCTCGCTCATTCTTTTGCTCACACCCCGAACACTCTCCAACTTACTCTCTCGGTAACTCTCTTGCTCACTCTCCTACTCACCCTCTAGCTCACTCTGCCGCTCATTCTCCTACTCACCCTCTGACTCAATCCACTCACTCTTCCACTCACTCTCCCCCCCCCCATTTTTCACCCAATCTCCCACACACTCTCTCTCCCTCCATCTCGCTCGCTCGCTCGCCTCCCCGCTCAGCGCTGGCGTGCCGGGTGCGCAGGAGATCCTGTTCACCGTGGTGAACGAGTACACGGACTGGGAGCGCACGGTGCAGCACCCCATCAACACGCGCGACGCCACGGTGGCGGCGCTGAGCGACGCCGAGTTCGTGGCGCCGCTGGTGCAGACGGGCGACCTGCTGGCGTCGGCCGCCGCCGCCCAGCCGCCGCCCCCGCCGCCACCGCCCGGCGCCCCGCCCTCCGAGCGCCCGCACACGCCGCGCGCCTTCTTCTACGTCTTCGACTATCAGACCAAGGAGGGCGACTACCCGCAGGTAGGCACGCCTCTCTCTAAAAGCGAATTATTATTTATGTCGGGATCAGTTTATGTGTGTAGAATTACATTGAAGTTTTAAAGGTTTTTAAGTGAATATGATATGACAAAAGTGAGTGAAACTAAATAAGGTGTGCTGTTGCTGCTGGATGGGTGTTGTGGCATAATGTTTTCTTCGTCTCGGGAAACAAACATTGTAGATCGGCGCCTACCCACATGTTTGGACGCCTGAATGTTTTATAACATTTCTAGTCGTGAGAGACTTTCTAGGTTCGTGACTACCTTGCAGATAAGGAGGCTTCTCTATGCTGTTGTTGTTGGATGGTTTTTATGTCCCAATACTTTCCTTGTCATGGGAAACAAACATTGTAGATCAGCGCCTACCCGCATGTAGGCACGCCTGAATGTTTTATAACATTCCTAGTCGTGAGAGACATTCTAGGTTGTGAATACCAGCAGGTAAGGAAGCTTCACTATGCTGTTGCAGTTGGATGGTTTTTATGTTCCAAAATTTTCCTTGTCACGGGAAACAAACATTGTAGGTCGCGGTCTACCCGCATGTTGGGACGTCTCTCTTTGCTGTATCTGCTAATGTTTTTGATGCCTGAATGTTTGAAGACAATCTTTGTCGCGTGACACGAGTATTGTAGGTCGGTTACTACCTGCAGGTAGGGAGACCTCTGTGCTGTTGGATGGTTCCCTTCTATTGAATGATATGAATCGTAATCCTTTCCTTGTCGTGGAAAGCAAATATTTCTAGATCGGCGACTGCCCTGGGGTAGGAAGGTTCCTCCGTTGCTTAACTGCTTGACGGTTGTTATGCGAAACGAATCAATTCCTAGTCGCGAGAAACAGGCATATCTCGGTTGCCGACTACCCGCAGTTACTGTACACTGCTTGCTCTCTTGCTCTTGGGTCGACACCAAACTCAGGACTTCAACGTAGGAACTCTTGTTTCCGGAACGTTTTGTTGTTGCGAACTTGTTATGAGCCCTTGTATTAAGACGTAAAGTGAATATTTTTTAAGTTAAAGTGAGTTAAATTTATAAATTTTATCTTTTTGTTGTTAATGTGTATTTACTGGAGCATAATCGACTTACAACAGAGCGCAATTCTGAGTCCATCGTTTCAGGAAGGATACGGTTGTATTTTTTTCATATAAGTATATTTCCGACAGAATGTATGTGGAGAAAGAATATACCGATTTTTATAGCATACATAATTAGTACTTTACTAAGATTTGGTTTTCTGATTTTTTTTCTGTGGCTTTCTTTTGGCCAGACTTCAATAGTTCTAGTGAATTATCAGTCCGTCGCTAATAAAAAGCTGAACGCAATATAAGTCTTCAAAATCAGCTAAGGTATTCTAATACACTCGAAAATGCTTCCTTAAAGAATTTAATGATTCTACCTAACAAAATTAATAATCGTTTATAATTAACAGAATATTTTTAATTGCCAAAATTTTCACTTGTGTTTGATTTACTATTAAACTTAAGAAAACTGGAAGAGAACATGCTTCAATAATTTGCATTTTACTTTTTCCTGTAAATGTTATTACTTCGTTTCACTGTCAAAGTGGCCCTGTCTCTAAAAACAAGTGTTGAGTGATGCTGTAGCGTTATTTCGCTGTATTGTCGTAATAAATTTAACACACATTGTTCGGAAATCGACCGTAAATACGCGCCCCACTTGTCATGTACCATTGTGCTGTTGTGTAGAAAAAGCAATTTCCCCTCTTTCCGGGAAATCCTGTTCCGCATTCGCGTGGTCAACTTTTTCGCACATCATAATAATGATCCGGCGTGACAACGAAACATTTAAATTAGAGATAGTGAAAAACGCTATTTCGTACGCGAGAAAAATTGGCGGCCGTTTCTGGTGTCCATTCTTCTTTTCAGCTGTGAATAGTAGTCCTATTTGTATTTGCTCATGCAGTAGACGGCGTAAATGTATATAATGCATGAGCTAGTATGCATGATTGACTTGGTTGCATTGTTTTCTTTGGATTATGTATATTATGAATTATGTCCATAAAATTCCATTCTTAAAGTTGGGTTTGTTTAAAATTGTAATTTTCATCATACTTTGCGTCAAATGCACAATCAGCAGAATCAGAAACATGGAATTATCTTCATTGACTATTAATATTGCTCATCTCTTTAAATATGTACTGTAGTAATTATTATTTATGTTGTGACCGGTTTATATGTGTTAGAATTTCATTGAAGTTTTAAAGATTTTTAAGTGAATATGATATGATAAAAGTGTATGAAACTTAATAAGGTATACAAATATATTTCTTAATATAATAATATTTCTTAATATATAAATATATTTCTTGGAAGACCAATGAGATTTTTTTCTTCTTAAAATTCAGTGAAAAATCTCTTCAGGTGAGTAAAATTACTCGTAAATGTTTTGTGTGAAAAACGTTACAATTTGTTGCTCTACTCTCTGCTGTTCTTCCGATGATCATTGGAAACTTTATAGCCTCGAAGGCACTTGGGAAGATTTAATCATAACAGACTTCTCGCTCCCTCTAATGACCTATCTTCGTTCCACTTGCTCTAACGACCGCTAAATGTCACCATAATTTCTTACTTTGTCATGAAATGCATCTTTGATGATTCTTAATTCAATGCGTAACCTTTTCAAAACCAATAACTTTTCACTCCATGAAAATGAATAATTTATATTCCTAACTGGCTAGGTAAAAAATTCTAGCTTATGTGTAATATACACCTCCTTTACTGTGCATTTTTATTCCACGCTGAAGGTTAATGTATTTTCTAAACAAGAAAGGTTTCGGGGAATAAGTGAATCAGCCTACGTCGCGGGACACCATTATAGAAACGTTTTCCCGTGAATTTGTGCCAAAGATATATATCCTTTTTATTTTTCAAGTAGCTCGTCAAATTATTATTTTAAAATATCAATTAATGTACCGAAATCGAGGTACTTTTATTTGTTGTATTGTGTCGTTCGTCCAATATCTAATATTATTTAATATCTACGTTAGATTTTCTCGTAGATTCTGAAGGGCTTATGTTAATATTGAAGTCTTTTAAAATATCATTCTCATATACATTTACATACAATTCTTTTAACTTAGAACATATCTGATGAGTTTCTTGCGTGATTTACAATGTTTTATTTACGACATAGTTTATTTTATTGCAAAATTTGCTCACAATGTTTATTGTGAGCACATTTAGTAATTATTTATACCATATCTGACTTATCTCGAACAGTCTTACATAAAACACAAAGAAAACTAAAACTCGTGAAACGTGCTTACCATGTTAACCCTTCGGAAACGCACCAAATTAATGGGATCAAGCGCAAGACCTCCAGTGGTTTGCAGATCTAAAGCCCGTTTCTCTTCTTGCTTGGAGAGCTGAATTCGCCCGAGATAAGCCGGACATTTGTTACAATTACCGATACAACACGCAGAGACGTTCGCAGCCATAACTCAGGCGCGCTGCAGCGGCCGCGCTCGGTCCTCGTGTTTGAGGACGGCTGCGCGTCGAAAGACGGCCCGGCGGCAGCGGCCGAGCTCCGCGTCTGACATAACGACGTGGACGCAGACACACCTCCTCTGCGTTCGCTGTGCCAACAGCGCGTATTCCCGCGGCGCACGGCGCTGTTATGTGCGACGCAAATACGTGCTCGGCGTCGTCACCGACAACCTAGCAGACTTGGACGCCGTGACTCTACGCACGGCACGGACTCGGGAGCCTGAGACACGGCCGGATATCGCATCACGTGCATCCGGAGTTGGCTGTTGGGTAATCATATCTTCACTCACACGCTGACACGTTGATTAGATTTAATATAATAAGAATATATTTATGGCCAGCAATGAACATTACATATTAGTTACATAAAAAGAGATCCCTGAGACAGCGAATAGTTTATTTACATGATTGTTTATTTTGATTGAAAAGTTATTTGATATCATTTCATTAGGCATACCAAAATGATTAATTAATTTTGGTATTTCCTGATTAGTAAATCTTCTATATTTTTCTTGCGCTATATTTAAGCGATAGAGCCGGACACAAAGACATTATGTTTCGATCGGTCTCGCCGACGAGACCGTTACAACTGAGAATGATAATTTCGGTAGAGAACGAACGTTACCGATAATACGCACATTAACGAGGTGAGCTCTTCATGTTGGTGAGTGAAAAGACGACAAATAACGACTACAGGCACGCGTAGTTTAAGACAAGACGGTAGACAACTGAATTTATGGGCTCCTTTCTCATTAAACGTTTTTATTTACATTGTATTTACGTGTTCATTTTTTTCGGCATTTGAGCTGTTGAGGAGTTTTAATGCATTATCCCTTTGTCCCGAATCTGTTTGTTGTCCTCCACGTACATGATGTATAATTTCCACCTTTTTTTACAATTTTTATAATATATAAGATTTTCACCGTTATATTTAGAAATGGTAAATTAATACGTAGACGTTTGAATTTTAAAGCAACTGTAATAAATTTTGCATAATATAAATGTTTAGGCAGAAGTTTAGGTAACTCTTTCAGAAGAACATTTAATTAATAAAATGTATAGTATAATGCATTAGAAACTTACAATTATTTGGCAATTTCTTAGAAAAAATTTACCATTTTTACAAAATATGAAATTATTTCGGTGAACAAGTTCATTCCCCATTCTGTAAGTTTTTCTAGTATGAACCATTCGCAAACGCCATGATTATATTATATACCCATAATATGATTATATTATGAACGCATTATTTTATTCTGCTTTCAATGAAGGAAGCGACTGAACTTTATGTTCAAACGAATGCCCTCGACAAAAACTGAATTAAACTTCGATTGCACAATGTCCATTGTAAACCTCTGTAAGATTGTGCAATTGAAACTGCGCAAAAAAAAGTGGTGTCTCCTTTTCAAAAATTATGTTCTACATTATTTTTAATTTAATATTCTTTCAAAGAGAGACCATGATACTTTAAGAAGTGATAC